TTTTTAATTCTCACTGGAGGAATTTTTTCCATTGATTTCAGAGAAAGTGGAAGGGAGGGGGGTTGGGGGACAGAGAAAGAGAAACATTGAAGTGACAGAGACACATCAATTGGCTGCCTCTCACACATGCCCTGACTGCTCAGCGATCGGACCTGCAACCCAGGTACGTGCCCTTGACTGGGAATTGGACCCTTGACCCTCCTGTGCACAGGCCGATGCTGTAACTAGTGAGCATGCTGGCTATGGCATATTCTAACTTTGATCAATTGATAGTGACTCTCAGGAAAATCCTATTAAAAAGAGTTCCCAAAATTCATGGAAAAGAATACTTTGATCGATTATTGATGTCTGACATAAACATGGAATGAGAGAGTATAGGCATTTGTACCATGTATTTGCTATACTTGACCCATCTCATTTTAGTTCTGCTTGTAACAAATGGTACTTCTTCAGTCTGTGGCCAGGGAATACACTTTACCTGTGACTAGGAAGCAAAAAGAAGCCAGCTGATCCAAATGAAGGATTGAATAGATGACTGTAGCTTGCCTCCCACCTCTTTCCCTTCATGAGCACAGTAGTCTTACTTGTTATGCTATGGTGAAAGGATCTGAAATACATAGCTATTCCTATTTAACAGGGGCTTTATAAGGCAGAATAACCCCATAGTAATTTCTATTTATTGTACCAAAACTGTCACTGGAAAACTTCATGACATCACTATGTTCAAAACTGTGACTAAAAACCTGTACAATGTGAATATTAATAATCCCATTACAAATTAGAAAGTAGCCTGGCCGGCATGGCTCAGTGGTTGAGCATCAACCTATGATCTGAGATCGAGGTTCGATTCCCGGTCAGGGCACATGCCTGGGTTTCGGGCTCAATCCCCAGTAGGAGTTGTGCAGGAGGCAGCCAATCAATGACTCTCTCATCATTGATGTTTCTATCTCTTTCCCTCTCCCTTCTTCTCTCTGAAATCAATAAAGACATATTTTTTTAGAAATTAGAAAGTAAATTTTGTTGCCCTCCTATCTTTGGTAAAAATAGCATACTTTACATTGTAACTTTAAGACACTTTTTTAATTTTCATCAGCACCTCCTATAAAGAAAAGTGTTTTCCTTCTAGTGGTGCTCTACTTACACAGCATATAAACTATGGAAAATATGTAATTGTGTTGTGTTAGAACACTTGATCTATTAACTTTGATATTATAATTTATTTCCTTATACAGCAATAAATAAGATCTTAGCCTTTTGGTACCACTTTCACGAGCACTTTTTAAAAAAGGAGTTTTTGTATGTTAAGTTAGATATTATCTCTGAAGGGTGGCATATATTTGTTATCTCCAATTTCTGGGGTTGTTTATCAGTTCTTATCTTAGTTGACCTATTAGCATATCTTGACATGGATAATTTCTTCCCTCTTTGAAGCAATTTCAGTATTTGGCTTCTTGGACACTATGCCCTCCTGATTTCCTCCTGTTTTTCTGGCTACTTCTTCCCAGTCTCATGTCTCTAACTTTTAAATGTTGAAGTACCCCCCGGCCGGGCGTGGCTCAGCGGTTGAGCATCGACCTAGGATCCAGGCGATCGGGGTTCGATTCCCGGTCAGGGCACATGCCCGGGTTGTGGGCTTGATCAATGACTTTCTCATCATTGATGTTTCTATCTCTCTGTCTCTCTCTCTTTTCCTCTCTCTGAAATCAATAAAGATATTTTTTTTTTTAAAAAATGTTGAAGTACCCCAGGACTCAGTTTTTAGATCTCTTTTCTATCTTCACCTGCTCCCTAGATTGATTATCTATTCCAAATCATGGCTTTACCGTCTATATGCTGATGGCTTCCAAGTTTATATCTTTAGCCCAAATGTCTCCTCTGACTTCCAGATTCACACATCCAGTTGCCTGATATTTCCATTACACATCTAGTAGAAATCTCATACTTCACCTGCTCAAAAGTAAGTCTTGCCCTAGCTGGTTTGCTCAGTGGTTAGAGTGTTGGCCTGCAGACTGAAGGATCTTAGGTTCGATTCCTGGTCAAGGGCATGGACCTCGGTTGCAGGCTTGATCCCCCCCCCCCCCAGCATGCGTGAGGCAACCAATCAATGTCTCTCTCTCACATTGATGTTTTTCTATCTGTCTCTCCCCCTTCCTTCCACTCTCTCTAAAAAAATCAATGGAAAAAATGTCCTCAGATGAAGATTAACAAAATTAAATAAATAAATAAATAAATAATTAGATTTACTTTAAAAGAAAAAAAGTAAGCCTTAATATTCTTCCCCAGCCCCAGCTAAACCAACTTCTTATGTATCTGTCTCCAAGACAACTCCATTCTTCCAGTTGCTCAGGCCAAACTCCGAGGTAATTTCTTGACGACTCCTCATACATCCTCTATACGAGGCCTAATACTTCCTAATTTCATCTCCTATTATTCTCTGATTCTCTCAGCTAGCTTCTTGTGTTTTGTGAGTACTTCTAATCTGGTCCTGTCTCAAAGCCTTTACACTTGAAGCTCCCTTTGCCTGAAAATGTTCTTCCTCCAGGTATCCTCATGGCTAGTTGCTTCACTTCCTTTGAGTCTTTACTTAGAAGTGACTATCTATCTAAAATGTCAACTGCTTCCAACCTCCTGATATTTCATTTATTTTATCTGCTTTTTTTCTCTTTTACACATGTCACTATCTAATATACTTACTTATTTTGTTTACTATCTGTCAAATATTAGTTCTATGACAGCAGGATTTTTGTCTGTATTATTCACTGTTACACTGCAAGTGCTTAGTGCTGTTCCTGGCATATAGTAGAGGCTCAATAATTATGTGTTGAATGAATAAATTAAAAAAAAAAAAGTCTGTTGATTTCAGAGAGAGGAAGGGAGAAGGAAAGAGAAAGAGAAACATTAATGTTTCTGTCTGTGCCCTATCTTCTCTTATAAGGATACCAGTCATATTAGATTTTACCTAAAATGATTTCATTTAACCTTAATTACCTCTTTAAAGGTCCTATCTCCAAATAGAGTCACATTCTGAGGTACTGGGGGTTAGAATTTCAAAATTCATATGAATTTTGGAGGGATCCAAGTCAACCCATAACATGGGGTCCTGTTTCAATAGTTAAGCTATTTTGCATGAATTAGATCACTCTTAAAATTTCTTGTTCTGAAAGTTAAATGTTTCTCATAAGAGAATTTAAAATAATTTATTAAATAAATGAAAACCAAACTCTATATAACTATAGATGCCTGATACACACACACACACACACACACACACACACACACACACACATACACATATACACCACTTATTGTGTACTTATCATGGATTAGGCATTAGGCTGAATGTTTTAGACAATTATCTCAATCCTTATATGCTTATAAAATAGATATTATATTTCTTTATTTTACATATGAAACTGAGATTCCAAGAGTTTTGGTTGCTTTCCTAGAGAGTTGGGATTGGAACTTAGTTAATTGGACTTGTATTCTTAACCATTAATTTATGGATGTTATAGAACAGTGCCATCCAATAGAATAGCCTGCACAGTCCCAAAACAGTTGCCACTACCCTTACACAGCTATTAAACTCTTGATATATGAGGCTAGTGTGACTGAAGAAACTGAATTTTAATTGTATTTCACTTTATTTTTATTTTTAAATATATCTTTATTGATTTGAGAGAGAGGAAGGGAGAGGTAGAGAAGGAGAGAGAAACATCAATGATGAGAGTCATTGATCGGCTGCCTCCTGCACACCCCTGACTGGGGATCAAGCCCGCAACCTGCGCATGTGCCCTGACCGGGAATCAAACCTCGACCTCCTGAATCCTAGGCTGATGCTCAACTGCTGAGCTAGGCCTGCTGGTCTAATTATATTTCACTTTAATTAAATTAAATAGCCATGTGGCTAGTAGCTGTCATATTGGACTGCATAGTTATAGAAGTTTAAGTTGTGAAAACTAAATATATAACTATGCATAAGTAACCACTGTAGTTTTTTAGAACAGAAATGAGATTTCCTGTGTTTTACTAGAAATCTTTTTTTAATTTTGAAAAATAATACCTGCTCATGGTTTTATGCAAATAGTTTTAAAGAGGTTACAATGAAAAATAGGTCTTTCTCTGACCATACACTCTCAGTTCCTCCCCAAAAGCAGTCACTGTTTCTTCTTTTTTCTCTTCCAGAAATAGCCTTCAGATATACAAATAGAAACATCCTTTTAAAAAATACAAATAGGCATCTTTTAAACCAAATCACAGATCAAATTATTTAAAAGATTGAAAGCAAAAGATTTAAAAAATACTAATTCATTTAATTTCACTTCTAATCCTTTGTGGAGTAGGGTGTACTATACATAAATATGTTTTCTAGTGGGAGTCCTCAAACTATAAGAGATTTTTAATATATATATGCTCTCAAATCTAAAGTTCAAATCTTTCTTTTAAAATATATTTTTATTGATTTCATAGAGGAATGGAGAGAAAGATAGAAACATCAATGATGAGAGAGAGTCATTGATTGGCTGCCTCCTGCACAGCCCCTGCCAGGTATCAAGCCTGCAACCTGAGCATGTGCCCTGATCGGGAATCGAACCTCAATCTCCTGGATCCTAGGCTGACGCTCAACCTCTGAGCCACGCCCAGCCCTGCTAAAGTTCAAATCTTTACTCTTATTTTATCCCTGTAATATTTTTACTAGCCAGCAATTTAAGACCATGCATTCCAAATAGCTAACAATTTTTAAATTTAATATTGGCATGATGTGAAATTATAGTTATAGTGTTCACCTTAGATGATAGGTCAATGTTATTTCCTACTTAATTACCACTTTTTATTAATACAGCCTTTCTTACTTACTATACAAGAATATTTATTATATAAAATTTATTAAAGCTTTATTATACTAGATTATGATTGTGTAATATGATTCTCATAAACAAAAATTTGCTTTTTTTCCACCACAGAAAATTTGAGGATATTGTCTTTAGGAAGAAACAACATAAAGAACTTAAATGGACTGGTAGGTTGCTATTTATTACTTTGAAAAAGCATACACTTTTTTCTTAGTGTAAAAATAATACTTGTCCATTGCACAAACTTTACAAAGTAGAAAAGCAACTATAAAAAGTACTTATAAGCCACTGACAATTTAAATATTGCTAACATTTTCACTGACGTCTTCCTTGCTTTTCCCCCTGTTCTTCAATGGGTATGTAGAGAATGAAATCACACTATACATATTGTTTTGCATCTCTTTTTTTTCTTAATATGTAAAGATCGTGTTTCTTTGTCATTCATTCACTCAACAAATTCATTCAATAATACTTTCTGAGTGTCTGTTTTAAGCCAGGTACTGTTCTAGGCACTAGAGATACAGTAGAATGAGTATTAAACAAAGTCCTTGTTCTCATGGAACTTACATTACAGTAGAGGAAGACAGACTAGAAAATAATTGTATAATACATAAGGTGGTGGTGAATGCAGTGGGGAAAAAACAAGGCATATAAGAGACTGTGTAGATTGATAGGAAGCCCTCTCTGGAAGAGATGTAGGCTCTAGAGCTGACCAGGAGATAAGTACTCCCGGCTGAGGTGGACAGCAAGTGCAAGTGTCCTGAAACTGAAGCTGCTTGCCATGCTTGAGTGAGAGCAAAAGAGTTGAGTGAGGGGGGAGAATTGTCCTCAGTGAGGTTGGCAAGTGAGTCAGGAACTAGGAGGCCACACTGGGCCTTATAGGTCATGATACGATTTTAGATTTTTTTCCATTTGGCTTACAAAGCTATTGGAGGTTTTTGATCAAAAGGTGTGACTTAAGTCTTTAAAAACTTTTCAACTATGTACCTTTTTAATGACAGCATACTATTCTATTTTATTAATGTACCATGATTTATTAAATCAGTTATTTATTATTCATTGTTTTCAGTTTTAAGTTATCATAATCAATGGTGTTATGAATCTCCTTTTAGCTATATTATTGCACACATCTATGAATAATTCATTAGATAAATTCCTGGAAATGGAATTGCTGGGTCAAAAGGTATGAATTTCTTTTAAGGCTTTTTTTTGACATTTCATCAAGTTACCATTCAGGAAGTTTGTAACAATTTATACTTCCACCAGTAATGGATGAGGTTTCCTATTTCCGCTTACCAATCTTGGACATTTAAAACTTTATCAAGTTTTTGACAGTGGAGTGAAATGAACTATGTATTTTTATTTATATATTTACTGGCCATCTGAGTTTTCTGGCAAAGAAGCTGAAATGAAACAATGTTGTAATACTAGGAAATTTTAGGAAATATGAAGCTAATTTCTTTTTCTTGTATCTGTTCCCAAAAAGACAATAATTTTTTAAAAAGTATTTATTGTTAAATAATTCATAAACATTCTGAAATTTTTTATGACTCTGGCTTCCTTCCCTACCTCCCAATAAGTTTAGCTGTGCTTCAGAAGAGCCAGTGGAACTGAAACTGCAGTGGTTCCCAACAGTAACCTCCCAAAATGAGACAGGCTACAATGGCCATCTCTCATTACAGGAATAGCTATAATGCCTAAATAGGGGACAGTGTTCAGAGGGGCAATTTTGAAATCATCTTGAGTTATATGAATAATATTCCCACTTCTATGTGTCCACTTACTCGCATAAAGTTTTACTAATGAATTTATAAAATACTTGGAAATTCTTAGAGATTACATTCTTGAATAAAGGAAGTTTCCCCCCAAAAATGATAGCCAATAGATGAATTGTTTGCTTTCTAGTTAGATATGATGAGTAAATACTTAATGATCTGTAAAAAAATGTTTTTGGTTTTCTAAATGATTGGTATATTTAAAAGATATTTTACTTTATCTACATTCTCTAAGCATTAGATAGTAAAAATGTCAAATATAGGGACATTATTCATAATGAATAAAATATTAAATTATAATACAAAAATTCAGAATTTGTTATACTTCAGACTAAATATGACTTTGAATGATCTGGAAACATACCCCCAAATTTTTAGGATCAATAGAGGCTTAATATTCCATTAGGTATTTTCAGAATACCAGATTCTCAAGTATTGCTATAGTATATAATTTCTCCCATGAAATGTAATATACACCTAGAAATCACAAAGAAATTATAATTATAGAATTAAAGGCTTGTATGGAGATATAACCTAGCTGAACCGTCCCTTGCGTAGATCTCTTCACTTTCTATATAATATCAATAACACCCAAGGGTTGGTTTTCTTTCCAGCATGTGTGTATGTGTGTGTGTATGTATACACACCATACATACACCAAAACATTTTTCCAGTTCAAAAGCTTTCCTACTTATGTATAGACTAAAGAAAAATAATAAGTTAGGATATAGATGCTGGGCTTTAAATAGGTTCACATACTGACTTACTCATCTAGAAACACCAGTCTCATAGCATGATTTAAATAGCTGCCTTAGTAAGTTTCACATGACCGCTCTAATCTGTGAGACATGGAGTGTTAAATTGAATGAAAGGGCTCTGTTTAAAGCTACTGGAAAACTGGCTGTTAAGGTACATTATTAAGCCTATTTGTATATATGATCTGCCACCTGCCTTCCTTTCGGATCTCATTTCACATTACTCTTCTTCCTAGCTAGTAATCTCCAGGACTGGCTTCTTCCTCTTCCTGGAACATGCCAAGTCCATTCCCACCTGAATCTTGTACTTGCTGTTTCCTTTATATTTACTGTTTCCTCTGCCTAAAAAACTCTTTGTTACTCTAGATTTCCACATTACTGGCTTCCTCTTAACCTTCACACTTCAGCTCCCCAAAAGTGACCCAGCTACCCTATATCTAATTATTGCCAGCTCTCTAGGCAATAATTCTTAACACACACACACACACGCACATGCACACATTTTTATCTTATCTGAAATTTTTATTAGTTTGTTCTTTCCCCTCTTCCTTCCCCTCTCTTTCTGTCTCTGTCCACGCACAAATCCTAATGAGCATGTCAGTTTTGTTCATCAGCATCTATGTTAGTGCTTGATACATGTAGTAGGCATTCTATAAGTCTTTACTGATTTACACAATATTTTTATTACTAATTATAAAAACAGGTTAAAATTATAATTCTAAGAGTAATATATGTTAATTGTAAAAAACATATCAAGCAATTCATAAATATATGAAATACACTGTGAAAGTCTTTCTTCTCCCTACCTCCCTCCCCAATTCCATAAGGTAACAGAAATAATATTGTTTTGTATACTTTAATATTTTTTCTGTGCAAATACAAATAAATAGATATCTGTGTGTATGTATATGTATGTGTGTGTGTATGTTTCATATGTTTGTACTGTTGATATACAAGGTTAATATATTTTTTCTGCTTTTTCACTCAGTTCAGGGTAGGCAAAAGTACCTTAATAATAATAAATAATATAATAATTAAAAGTAATAATACAAGAATAAACTCTGTGTTTTGAGTACACAACTGTAAACCTACTTTTGCCAACCCCTGTATATCAGTAGTAGTCTTCCATGTCAAAAATTGCAGATTTAATGCATTCTTTTTTAATAGCTGTACAGTTTCCCCTAGTATCAATTATAAATTTGATCCATGATTGCATGTATCAGAATTTCTTTCCTTTTTAAGGATGAATAATATTCTGTTGTATGTATATGCCGTATTTCATTTATCCATTCATCTATCAATGGCACTTGGGTTGTTTGCACCTTTTGGCTACTGTAAATAATGCTGCTATGAACATGGATATCTAAATATCTCTTTTAAACCCTCTTTTCAATTCTTTAGGGCATATGCCAAGAAGTGAGATTGCTAGATCATATATTTTTAATTTTTGGAGGACCTGCCAAACTGTTCCATAGTACCTGCACCATTTTACATTCCCACCAACAGTGCACAGTTTCTGCATATCCTTGCCAACACTTCTTACTTTCTGTTTGTTTGATATAGCCATCCTGATGAGTGTGAGGTGGTCTCTCTCTCATTGTGCCATACTGCTTTTTACTATTTTACAGAGTGAGAAACTTGCAGAAGCAAACCAATTTCCTAAATGCCTGTTCACTCAATGTCCAGTTCTCCAAAGGGCCAGTTTATTGAACAACAGGTTTCACTGAATTGATCACACAAACTTAGCCAGATTTTACCGATTGATATTCCCCAGATTTCTTCACCAAAACCTTGTCTTTATTACGTACTTATAAATATATAGAAAATTGTAGTGCTTGGAATGGTTTCAATACCTTCTGAAATTTTCTTTAAGGTTTATTTAGTGCTGCTAATGATACTGCAGCTGTTTCATCCAGATGTTGGATTTGTCGGTCCATCTTTGTAGAATGTCAGTTTCATATTTTAGGTTCTGATCACTTCTCAAATTATTAAAACACATAAAAATAGTAATCTAATTGAGCTGCTAGCAAATCCTTATATTTAGGGAAGTACAAAAGACAGTGGAATAGATTGAAAATGTCCTGAAAGACCAACCTACACTCTGGGCATTCAAAATCTACATATTCCTAAGTCAATATGCCTAAGACATTCTCGTTTCACAAAGTCATATTCCCAAGTAAAGTTCCGAAATGTACTGAAATTTGGTTATGACAAAAGACCTGCATTCAAATGGCTAAAAACTAAACTGAAGCTAAATTAACACTTCAAGTGAGTGAACAAAGCATTACAGACATCTTCAAAGTTATCCTATCTTAAGAATGTCTATCCTATCTAGACAAATTGCTATAATTTGTAAGTAAACAATTTTTTGGTAAGTCAGTAAGAGTAAATTCAGCAAATTGGTTATTTGGAGAATTGATCAAATTGGCTATATGAAAACTGACTAAGAGTCCTCATCACATGTTAAAAACAACACTAAATTAGTGGCAGAACCAAGAACTGAGCCTAAATCTTCTAATCAGTATTTAATCGGTATTTTTCCTACTACCTCACACTTTCTAAATTGGAGACATGAGGTGGATGCAGATGCAGTGCCATGAAAATGCATGCAATACAGTTTAAATGACATGAAAACTGATTCCCCTCTTCTGAAGATGTATATGATATACTAATTAGGTCATTTTGGTGGAGAGCATATCAGAATACTAGCTGAGGGGGGTTGTCTAAATCACAAAGTTCTGATATAAGAGTGCCAGGACGGACTGATTTAAAAGGTACTTTACTGTGAAACTGTTATTTCTTCTACTCAGAAAGCTGAAACTAAGATGAATTGTGGGAGTTGGGATGACACACAGAACTACCTCAGGCCACTCCTCATTCTTCCCCTTGGTTCCACCAGTATGGAAAATGCATACATTAGGGATCTTTATCCAGGGTGCATTTATTCTCTTTGTAGTTTCTGAAGGGACAGTTACTTCCCAGGATAGATGTGGGTTCCATGTTCCAGACATTACCATGTGGCCACAGGTAAATTCTTTGGGTTAAGAGAGCATCTAATTGATCCTGCCTAGTATTTTTTTTGTTTTTTTTTTAAAAGGAATCACTAAATTTTGTCTTATGTCTAAAAATGAAGGAAGTTTGTGCCACCACTGATTATATCTATCATTTAAGAGTCAGTGTGGTATCTAGCCAGCGTGGCTCAGTGGTTCAGCATTGACCTATTATCCAGGAGATTGCGGTTTGATTCCTGGTCAGGGCACATGTCCGGATTGTGGGCCTGTTCCCCAGTGGGGGGCCTGCAGGAGACACTGATCACTTTCATTCATCATTGATGCTTTTATCTCTCTCCCTTCCTCTCTCTGAAATCAATCAATAAAATATATATATTTTAAAATAATAAGAATAAAAGAATCAGTGTGGTATAATTTTTTTTTACTATAATGGAAAACTTTGGGTTTTAACTGGAATTTTATACATTAAAAGAAGATGAATGAATGGATAGGTAGCTGGATAGAAGATGGGCAGATCTTTTATAGGAAAAGGGTAGTAAAATGTTAATGGTAGAATCTGGGTAGTGGATATATGGGGATTTACTATAAAATTCTTTCAACTTTTTCTATGTTTGAGAGTTTCTGTAATTAATATTGGGGGGGGGGGAATCCTGAAATTTAGACCCAGCTCTACTATTTAATAGCATTGTGATCTCAAACAAAGCCCTTAAGCTCTCTGTAACAGAAATGAAATAACCTTCTTTGCCTACTTTAAATGTTACAAGGATAAAGTAATAAAATATATAGGGAAGTAATTTGAAAGCTATACTATTCAATAAAAGTGATAACATAGTGCTACTATTTCTCCTGTTGGTGATTTCAGTACCTATTCTTAGTTCAGGTAAGTTTGAAGAGAGGAAGAGAATGTTCTACTTGGCTTTTTTAATGGCAGAAACTCCCACACAGCCTTCATTTCTCCTGCCAGGGGACAGGTGGTCTCAGTTCTCTTTGAAGACCATTGTTTTGAGGTTTATAGGGAAGGAAAAAAGCTTGAAAATAAGCATGTATATCAAATTGCTCTCTTTTTCAGGAAGCAGTAGGGGACACATTAGAAGAACTGTGGATCTCCTACAATTTTATTGAGAAGTTGAAAGGGATCCATGTAATGAAGAAATTGAAGATTCTCTACATGTCTAATAACCTGGTGAAAGACTGGGGTAAGCTGAGGCTGGCTCTTTGCCGACCTCTACTTCCCGTTGATAGAAAACAGCCCAGTAGGGAATGAGGTGCAAAATAAGGACATTTGCTTCTAAGCACAGAGAGAAATGGCGATAGGAGCTCCCATGTGTCAGCCAAACACTTGAAATTACACCTAAATCTTTATATACAGTACTTAAAATGATTCTAATTTAATAGGTTCATGAAAAAATTAAAATTAATTGTCCAAAGGCTGAAATAAATCAGCTTAAGTTTAATAATTCTTGTGTGGAAGACCTGCCTGACATCTACATTGCTTTGCTTTTGCACTGGACACGATTCATTCAGCATTTATTAAAGCCTTATGTGCCATGAACTATGTGCCAGACTCTTGATGCATAGTTGAGTAGGACACCATCCCTGCCCTGCCCTCGAGGAGTTCACAGCTAATAGCTGTAAAACTGTGATAAATTCCACAGTAGAGGCTCCAATGAGTTGCTTTAAAGAATTCAAAGGTGAGGGAGGGCATGGGCAGAGACGGCAGTGTAGCTTAGCCCATACCAATGCAGTACGGCATAAGGAAGACCTGTCAGTGTCGAATGATTTGTTCTTTTCTATTGTAAATCTCATTTCCTCCCCATATCCTATCCTTAGGCTAGCATGAAGGTAGAAGAGGTGTGCCTTCTTTTTCCCTCCCTTTCTGTAACGTTTTCAGAGAATCATTCCATGTGGTCTAACTTCTCTTACTTACTTCAAAATCTTTTTTTTAAAAAGACATATCTTTATTGATTTCAGAGAGAGGAAAGGAGAGGGAGAGAGAGAAATAGAAACATCAATGATGAGAGAGTCATTGATCAAGCCCACAACCCGGACATGTGCCTTGACCGGGAATCGAACTCTGATTGCCTGGATCCTAGGTTGACGCTCAACCGCTGAGCCACGCCTGGCTGGGCTACTTCAAAATCTTAAACAACAAATTGTTCTGAATAGTCACAGACAGTGATATTGGAATTCAGCCCCCAAAGTCATAAGAGTAAAGCCTGCCATTTTAATGTGGAAGGTATTCTTTGTACCTGTAGCTGAATTTGTGAAGCTGGCAGAACTGCCATGCCTGGAAGACCTGGTGTTCGTAGGCAATCCCTTGGAAGAGAAGCACTCTGCTGAGGGGAACTGGATTGAAGAGGCAAGCAAGAGAGTGCCCAAACTGAAAAAGCTGGATGGTGAGTGCTAAGCCAGCGTGCAAGTATTTCGTAGGTGTAAGAGTTGAGTTTATGACATGGAATCATGAAAAGGAGCAAAACTCTGACGAAGACGATAGGTTGTCTCTAATCTCCAAGGCCATTTCTGTCCACAGGAAATTTTATGGTCCACATGTGGACCAGGGTGAGATGAAAAACTTTTAGGATATTTAGACTGGTATAAGATCATCCCTAGGCCAGAAGCTTATAAAAAAGTTGGGCTTTTTCTCAAGTCACAGGTATTATTTTGCAGAATAATTATATATAAATGGTAAGTAACTACTTTTTCACAATTGAATCAAAATTGTAGTGTTCTCTAATGCCCACACACACACACATTTTAGTTTCCTAGGATCTAAGATAGGTGTCTCTATTTATGGATATCCTTGACTGAGTGGGTTCAAATCCCAGTTCTACCACTTAATATCCTTTTTTGTCATTGTGGTAGTTAAGTTCACCAAACTTTTTTTTTTGTAATCTAAAAACTGGAAATTATAATAGTCACAGAACTCTCTGGGTCTTACCTATTCCCAGGTGCTACCAGGAACCCAGGCCAGGATTCTGACTGTTCCAGGACCCACATACTTCCCTTTTTTCCTGCCAGCCCAGGGAAATATCTTTCTAATCAGGATAATCACTATCCCCTCCTTTTCCACATCATTCTACATCTTCGCGCAAAGTCTATCTTCTTAGTGATCTTAGGCTTTCAGAGACAAAGCCAGCAAGTCTGACAGTCCGTTTCTGCTTTCCACACTGCCCCCGAAGCAAAGACACAGAGCCCACTGGCCGGCCTGATTGGATGGGGGTGGGGCGTGCGGGATGCGCAGAAGAAACAGGTGACCCAGCTGCATCCCCGTCCTCCTCCTCACCCCATGTAACCAGTGTGTGTTTCCCTGTTTGTCTTTATCACCCTACTCATACCAATACAATCCAGAACCAAAGGACCTAATTGTCTGTGGTTGAGGCTTCCTTGTTCCCCACCCTTCAGTCCCCTCTTCAGTCCCCGCTTCATTACCCTGCTGTTCTGTCCTTCCCATTCCGTGTCTGTTTCTCTCTCCCTTGCCACCTCTATCTAAAGTTCAGTACTCAACCCCCTACCCACCTCAGCTTACTGTGGCAGTTGTCTTTAAGTCGCAATGCATCCCTGCAGGGATATGTCGGAATCCCTGGGGAGAGAGTGAAGGAGATCTGTATAGTCTGAAAAAGTTTTACAGGTGATTCTTATATGCCTCCCTGGAAGAGATGTGCTCATCTGTCCTCCAGCTGAGAATTATCGACATGCAATAATTACATGCAAAAGTCCCTTCACTAGCTCTTTTCCTATACCAAAAACTTTTCACAGCTTGATTGATGGATAATTGACATACACTTACCTACGCATATTTAAAGTATATAATTTGATATGTTTTGATATATGTATATACCTCTGAAACCACCACCACAATTAACATAGTAAAGATATATATGATGGTGACTATAGTTAACAATACTATATTGTATACTTGAAAGTTGCTAAGAGAGTAGATCTTATAAGTTCTCACACATACACAAAAAGGTAGCTACATGAGGTGATGGATGTGTTAACTAACCTTATTGTGGTGATTATTTCATGATATATACATATATCAAATCATCATGTTTACACCTTAAACTCATACAATGTATAAGTGAAGCTGGGGAAAAGACAATGAACGTATGCATCACTCCCAAAAGTTTCCTTGTGCCTCTTTGTAATCCCTGCCTCTGCTCATCGCCACCTTCCCTCCCACGGCAGTCACTGATCTGCTTTGTGTCCTTATAGATTAGTTTGTATTTTTTAGAGTTTTATATTAATGGAATCATGCAGAATGTCCTTCCCCGCCCTCTGGATACATACATAGGGGTAAAATGACAAAGACAGTATATTACCTCTGTGGGAGGTACAGGAATGATCAGGAAGAGGCAAGCAGGTTTCTAAGACACTGGTAATGTTCTAGTTCCTAAATTGGGTGGCGCATATACAATCACTGGTTTTGTTACTCTTTAAATTATTTATATTGTGTTTGTATGAATTAATATTTGACAATTAAAACTAAACTAAACTAAAATAAAATAAAATAGAGGCTAGAAGACATTAGATTCAGCCTTTTTATGTCCACCTTTAGTTGGATTCTAGAAACCACTTGAAATCATTTGTCTTTACTTCCTTCAGGATTATACACAGGAGGTGAACCCCTTCTCTTAAGAATATAACAGAACCCCTCACGTAGACCCTGAGTAGACCAAGCCACTTCAGAGCCTTTTGGACAGAGTATCCCTCTCAGGCCATCTGAACAGCCCCTAAAAGAACCCCCTTGGTCTATACTAAACCAGTGGGATAGACCAGAACAGAGATGGCCACAGCTGCTAACTTGTCTCTTTTTGCCACTCTCCTGGTGCTTATAAGCAAAACTGGGAGATCTTAAAATGTTAAAATGAGAGAGACAGTACCAAGTGTTAGTGAGATGTAGAGCAACTAGAACTCTTATACCCTGCTAGATGGTAATGTAACTTGATGTAACCACTTTGGAAAAAACCGGCATTATCTACAAAACCTCTACACACATGTATGTCCCTTATGACCCGGCAGTTTTTCTCCTAGCTATATACCCAAAAGAAATGTATGTATGTTTACCAAAAGACATGCATGAGAGTGTTCATAACAGCACTGTTTTAATAGCTATAATCTAAATGCCCATCAACAATAGAATAAATTATGACATATTCATGCAATGGAATATTAAACAGCAAAAAGAATGAACTACAACTTCACACACTATAGATGAGTCATACAAATGTAATGCTGAGCAAAAGAAGCCAGACACAAAGTGCATGCTGTATCATTCTGTTCTATCAATTTCTAAACATGCGAAAGTACCTATGGTGTTAGGCATTTTGTGGGGAAATAGTGACTGGAAGGGGGACTGAGGAGGTTTTGGGGGTTCTGATAATGTTCTCTTCCTAATCTGGGTGCTGGTGACCCGATGTGTTCTCTCTGTGTACATTTATCAATCTGTACATATTTTTTATACTTTGTGTATTTTGCATGTGTGTTGTTATATTTCGTATGTATGTCATACTTCAATAAAACATTCACTCACCCCCCCACCCCGCAAGCAGATGCTGTGGGGAGTATAGAGAGGTAAAATTCTGCTCACTGCCATGAAGAACATAAGTGTTCATTTAAGAAGGAATTCGGAGGAAGGGCCATTGGAGTTCGTTCTTGATTAAGAGTAGGATCTAGATGGAAGGATAGTTGGGGAGGGCATTTCAAAATGGAGGAGCTTTGTTAACCAAGAGTCCTGGTGTAAGTGTGCAGGATGAGTTTGGAAGACAGAGAGTTGGTCAGTTTAGCTGGATTGGAGGGTGACCGGCTAAAGAGTTATGACTGAATAGTTGACGAGGTAAGGCTGTGGGCAGGTTCAGATGCCGGAGCTCAGGAATGGGTTGCCCTTGGCCCGCTGAGAGCTTGCAGATGTGTTTTGTTTTCCATACTTTCGTTCTTCCCACCCGCCCCCAGTTTACTACCAATGTTTAATATTTAGGGGACTAACAAAAAATCAGACATCCTGGGATTGCATATTTGATTGTGAGAAATGAAGAATATTTCTTTGTATTTAACATACAAAATTTCAGTATGTATGGGGCTTTGTTTTTTTATTTTTTTAAATATATCTTTATTGATTTCAGAGAGAGGAAAGGAGAGGGAGAGAGAGAGATAGAAACATCAATGATGAGAGAGTCATTGATCGAGCCCGCAACCCGGGCATGTGCCCTGACCGGGAACCGAACCCGGATTGCCTGGATCCTAGGTCGACGCTCAACCGCTGGGCCACGCCCGGCTGGGCAGGAGCTTTGTATTTTTGCCTGACACCTGTAGGCATTTTTATTTGCAACTCTCCATTCAGGGAGCCAGATATTCATAAGTACTTATATTAATCCATTTGAGAATTCTCTTGAGAGGCTGTTTGGTAATTTGAAATTAAAGAGATTTTATGAAATTACTTTTATTACAGCACACTTCACAGCATTTCAGAGCTTCTGAGGTTAACAGGGAAATATTTTCATTTAGAATTTTAGCGACCTGTTGGGAGTGACCAGAGCCTTTCCCTTTCATTTAGGCACCCCGGTGATTAAAGAAGACGAGGAAGAGGAGAACTAGGCCCTGCTTCCGCTCACGTGTCTCAGTGTCATCAGAACAGTAGATACGTTTTGTATAATTGTCTATTTTAAAGATGCTATGTGGGGGGAAGGTTCTTAAGATAAAACAAATCTCTGATTTCTGTTTTTTCCCTTAACCTATACAGTGTTTCTCCCCCAAATGGTAACACCAACTTTATATATTGTAGTCCTCTTTTTAGAAACTACAAATTTTCAGTTTTTGTTGTCAGTCTCCATCTACTGAAATCTTTATAGACCGAACAATCATTTTTAAGAAAAGAACAAATGTGGTTCTTCATTTTTTTTAGGTCAAGCAGTTAAATATATATACTTAACTTTTGAATCTGTAGATCATCTTTCCTGAAGGTCTGCCTCCTTATGACTCAGAAGCACAAGTGTCATGCCTTTGGTTCCGAAGGCAGCGTGATGACAGGAGGTTCCTCTTAGAAATGCAGCAGCCATAGAAGCAAGACTCCGAAGTCAGAGTGAAAAAGCTGTGGTGAAAAAACGAAAAATTAATATCTTGGAGGCCTTAGAGCCCATGTTATGTTTACTTATTTGTTTTTCAAAAAATGTGTACATTGTCAACTGGAATTTAGGTTGTGTGTACATGTGTGGCCACTTGAGTCCCTGCGCAGGGCCAGTCAGTCATTCTGTGACCCAGGTCAGTGGTTAAAGTGACTGGCGTGGCTATTCCTTTGACCAGCACTGTGGCCTTGTTACCCATGTGGACCTGACGTTAGGCACACTTTTGGTTTTATAGCTTTGTATGTGATATAAGGAAATATAGATAAGCAGTAGTTATATTTGAATTCCTAACCTAAATCTTGGCCATTCATATATGCCAAAATTTGCCCTAATAACTTTGGACTGTTGACTGTTATGTTGGGGGAAGTGATTGTTCTAAGGGTAGAGAACCCAAAGACTGGATCTGGTACCTTTCAATAAATTAAATTTAGTATTTCAAAATATATTTTAGAAAAGTTTTAAGTTAAACAGCTCTTGAAATGAATTATGTAAGTGGTTATGGAGGGAAAAGAGATGTTTCATTATGGGATCCCAGGCAAATGGCAATATTTTTGAAGATTGCTTTCTCTGTAAAGCATTGTAGGTGATTTACCCTCAGAATTGCAAAGCAATAGTTGGATGCAGAGCTTAGAATTTATCATATAAGAAAAAAATTCTTTTTGGAAAATGCAAGATATGGTAGTCAGTAACCAGATGGAGTCCATAGCAGGCCAGGACCAAATCACTGATAGATTGCAGTAAGGAAGTCACAGGCCCTCCACCAAATTGTGCCTGAAGTCCCTCAACCAGAGACTATTGATTTCATTTCCCCATTTACTTGTGTAAAATCAGTCAGAGAGGGAGGACTCATTTTAAAAAAGTGATCACATAAATAGTCCTGGGTTTCAGAAGTTTTCAGCTGTCATTTACATAGGAATTACATGATTTTTCAGTCACGCTGATCAAAAGGGACCACTGCTTCGACAATCAGTTCTAAAAAGGAGAAATTCACCCAACACTTTTTAGCTTCCTTTTAGTTCTTCCTCATAGCCTGATAGGAAGAAGGCTTGACTCTGACTGCTTATATATTCAAAGCCTTTGGGTACCTCTTTTGTGAGCCATAGGCAGTGACCATTCCTCGGTGATTTTAAGACCCAGAAGCTAAGAGGGAAGATGATTTTCTTATAGTATGAACTTCATCCAGTAGGCAAGCTTGAAGCCATATTGCTATATATGGGTGTATTTTCTAAAAGTTACTCTGGAAGTAAATGTAACAGGGAATGGACAACTTCATGATGATTTTTTTTTTTTTTTTTTTTTTTTTTTTTTT